GATATGCCGCAATATAAAGCATCCATACCAGAATTTCCTGCGTTAGTTTCAAGCTTTATGACATTTCAATCTGTTCCTATTCCAGAACTTTATCCATGTCACAAACATCGCCAACTAATCATCATCGTTGTGATGCTTCGTGCTAATTGAATGCCTCAAGTGCATATTTTAATGCTTCACCAATTTGGGGTACCTGATATCTCCAAATTGAGCAGATCTCCTATTAAAGTGGTTCTCACGTTCGGGTGCTCCATCGCCCCTTATGATGATTTGACAGGTCGCCGTCACTCCCCCCAACAATATTACCCAAAATGGCAATTTCACTTTTTATTAGAACCACTATCCTAGAGCGTTGTGTTGCTCAGTATTGCAATCGATTATGATTGCATGAAAAGCTATTGTCTATGACACGTTCACTTCAAAGCGATTTAGATGAATTCTCATTCTTTTCAGACGTGTTGTATTCACTCTCATAGCTATTACATGCGAATAGCGTTCTACTGATGGGTTTTTCTCATTCATTTCATCTCATTTCATTTTACAGTTCGAATCAGTTTCTTATTCTGTAGCATATACTATTTACTGGATGCGTTGACGAGTGTTGACAACCGAAATCAACAACACAGCAATCGAATAGTGCTGCTCAACAACGTTCGACAGTTAAATGATCAATTATAGAGTGTATTTGATAGAATGAGAATTTGACTTTAACTGTTGAGTGAAATGAATGAGAAATTAGCGGAAGAGAACACTTTTTGTGATAAAAGCTATGAGAGTGATTATAGCAGCAAAGAAAAGAATGAGAATCCTCTAAAGACGAATGAAAACCCTGTTAGGCCAGGACGAGCTAATGATAGTCAAAAAATACGAGAATGTTGCCATCATCTGACCATATCTACATTCCCGAGTTGAAAAATACCATCACAATGGTGTTCTCTATAACATAACAATTGCATGAAATCCTAATTTCTCGGCCCTCCATTACCCTTTTACACCTCCAAATTACCCCAGATGGGTAATTTCATCCCTATGAGATCCACTGTCCCTTATTACGTTGTAAGTTGAAATAGCCTCAATTTTAGATGGTTTATACCATTTGTAATGGATTGGTTGAATGAGAACGATGAACACTCGATGGACATTCTAAGGAATGCGTACAATCGCGATAAGTCTGATAATTTCCCACAAACATCCGAACATACAAAATTCTCGAATTCAGTTGTTGATGTGTTCACACAGCTCAATGAAGCACTTAAATTGCTGAAACAGGTCATTTCATTTGCGTTGTTTCATAAATATTCCGCCATTAAATATTCATCGCAAAATTGTCATATTCCCATGATAATGTAACGCAAAAAAGCATCTAAACGCAATTGTACTACTCAAATGCTTTAATAATGATGTGCTCATCTCGATGTGTTGTATCAAAATTGTTCGTCTTTCCCAGTCTTACCTTAACAAATTTCGCTGTTATCGCCGCTTTAAAAGCTGGATGAATTTGGTTATAAGCCATCTGAATTTTGAAACTGTGCAACGTAGTTGAAAGACAATTAATTTTCTTAATTAATTAATTGTCTTTAATTAATTAATTAAAAACAATTAATTAGTTTTCTGTTGCAGATGGATTGTCCAAATCCGGAAGTATTTGCGGATATGATGAAACGTTTCTCGAAAACACTCAACAAAGTGTTGTTGGCTTATGCTGATATGGTACAGAAGGATTTCGGTAAATTTGTCAGTAATGAGAAGTTAGCGTGTATATTGATGAATAATGTTCAGCAACTCAGGTGGGTGGTAACTTTTGAGCATATCTTAGAAACTTTTTTCATGTATTTCCAATGTTTCCAAAGAGTCCAGTTTCTATTCTGATTCAATTCGTCACATTTGATGCGTCCATTCCTCACTAGCTTGTCTGTATTACAATGATCAAAATGCATCAATTTGATCACATTTTTCGTCGTGTGATTTGTTTCAATAGCTGGACAGCTGCGTGTTCACTGAGATGATTTCTCCAACTTATTTCCAGGGTTCAACTGGAAAAGATCTATGAAAATATGGGTGGGCCGAATCTGGATCCGGCCGCGAACACGGTTCTGACGAATCTGCAGAAGAAGTTGAACGCCGTACTCGAT